AAAGGTTTTAATTCATACCATTAAGAGAACATGGATGAAGATCAGGAACAGATTTTATTTATGCTGAAAGCAATTCATGAAACTATTCTTAAAGCACTGATGAAATAAGAGGCTACAGAAAAGAACAAGATGTCAGCCTAAATATATGAACCCCAACTTTGATTACAACCAAAGAATTAACTACATAGAATATAATAGAAGTGGAGCAATTAAATACTATGATAGAAGATTCAACTGATCAACAAACACAGTTAATGGAAAACTCAGAAAAGGGATTGACAACTTTGAAAATGGAAAAGACTTTCTATATAAACCAGAAGAAACCTGAGGATCAAGAAGAACAGACCGAAGGGAAGATAAACATTTCAGGACAACTACGCCGAGAGAGAAAAATAGACGATTTGTTAGCCCCTTCAAAAAAATGGTGATTGGATGGCCTTTCTTATTTCAAACAATATACATAATAATAGAGGGAGATCTACATGATGATTTAAAAGCACAGATATGGAAGGTGAATTGGCAAGGAAAGAAAGCTAGAATAAGGCTGAAGAAAATTTGGAAGTATAAATATTAAAAGTTAAATTTGAATATTGATTTGTTTATAAAGATTGAATGTAAAAGCTAATTAAGATATATATAAGCTAAAATATATTGATGAATGTAATAAACATGTTTTCACTTAGCTGATATAATAAAAACTGTACTAGCTCAAATATGAGATGAATAGACATTAAGAGAAAAAGAGAGAGGGAGGAGAGAGAGAGAGATGTAAGGTAAAGGTAAATAAAAGGAAATAAAGTAATATTATAGGCAGACCCATATCTTTTTTATCATTTATAAAGCATGACTGTGGATTGTTTCTATGAAGAAATATAGACCTGGCTTAGTAATGGAGAAGGAATTAGCAAAGAATCAATGAGGAAGTTTCAGGAAAGATTACTCAGTGCAGACCTGAGAAAGAAAATGAAAATTTTGTTTAGAATAAGATGAGGCAGAGTGATTTGGCAGGTTTTTTTAATATTCTTGTAAAGTGATCTTTCCTTTATGATCCTGTCACTAAAGATCCATCTTTTAAGCTATAGAAGTGAGCACCATGCAGCCAAAGAGAAATAGCTTCATCCTGTGTATCACATCATCTTATCATCCATGGGGTAGGGTTATACACTAATTATTCTGATTGGATGCTGAGTAATGTTACATAATTTATGCTAATTTTTAGAATTTATTTTTCTATCATTGACATCAGTGAGATAGAATTTAACTGTATTTACTCCAAAGGAAAAATATCCAAATTTAAGAGGATCCCCCTCAAAAAATGAAGATTAGACATAAAAGATCTCCCCATCTACTCCATAGCTAAGATAATCCTTCTTTTTAAATTATACGAGGGTAAATAGTTTTCCTTTCCTTTTGTGTTCATATTGACAGCTTTTGTCTTGATATAACTTTATATCCTCAAAGTCAATGTCTCCTTGAAATGAAGGACAACTGGAAAAAAGGTTAGAATTTTTTTCCTCTTCACATATCCTATTTTTGACACTTGGCCAAAGTGGAGTAGATATTTCAACTGAAGGTGGGTCTAAAAAAGGGCTGAGGGCAGAAAACTGACACAGTCAAACAAGATGCATTTTGCTGTACATTAAATTTAGAAATCCTTATTAGTTAATATTATTTACAACAACTTAGTCTGTTTTTCCCTTAACCAACAGAACTGTACTATTCTTGATGTTTTTAAACATGATTTATTTTAGGACAGAACAGTGATGACAGTTCTAAGACATTTCTCCTACATGTATTATAACTGATTATAGATGTTATACATAAAACATTCCTATGGACTGTTTTAATATTATAAAGATGGTCAACATTACTTTGAAAATAGGTTGTGTGGGGTGACTTTGATATGCCTCAATGTAGCACTTTATGGTGCAAAGAAGATGCAATGTGCCTCTCCAAGAGGCAATACAATGCATCTCATCAAGATAAAGAAGCAACACAATTTGCTTTGATGAGGCCCTTCATGCTGCCTATAAATCTTGTCTGCCACTTGTAACAGATAGGAGAAACTCCTGCACATGCGTAGCACACACATACAAGCAGCACTTAGGAATAGCATAGAGAAAACTGTATGAGAAACCTCAGTGTACTGTAAAGCAAAGAAACATGACTGCTTTGTTTCAGTTTTAGGAGGCAAAGGGCTGTTTGGGGGAAGGCATTCCTTGAAATCTTTATCAAAGCAAAGACCTCTCTGAAAGATCTGCACATTCCAATTAGAAACTATTGCAGAAATCTGAGTATACATATATACTGAATGTTACGTTTTTGTCTCAAAATGTTTGAAACCAGAAAAAATGTTATCGAAGGATTGTTGAAGCCCAGTCTTCTTCTCTTTAACTATTATTGAAGTGCATGGACCTCTCTTAAATATTTTATAACAGAATAGCAATAGCACTGACTTATATACCGTTTCACAGCCCTCTGTAATTAGTTTTACAGAGTCAGCATATTGCCCCCAACAATCTGGATCCCCATTTTACCGACCTCAGAAAGATGGAAGGCTGAGTCAACCTTGAGCCGTTGAGAATCGAACTGCTGAACTGCTGGCAGTCGGCAGTCAGCAGAATTAGCCTGCAGTACTGCATTCTAACCACTGCGTCTACTGTGAACTTTGAGTTGTACATGTTAGTATAAAATAGCAAAGTGCCCAAACACAATTTTGCTTAATTGTATACTTAGAGAAGTAGATACATAAATTGGATTCAAAAAATTTAACAGGTATAATTCTGCAAATCAAAATTTGATTTGCTTTATGCCATGAAGATTGCAATTTAGCTAACAACAAATAAATGATTTATCTCTATGAGGCATTTTATGTCATTGTATAGCTTTCTCTTAAGATGCTCCAAATTTATATACTATTGTATGGAACCAGACACACGGACATTAATTTTCATCTACTGTTCATGGAATGGAATTACCCTCGTCCCCTCTCTCTGAGTGAGTATACTAATATAAAGTATTTTTTCTGTCCATAGCCTCAGTTGCACAAAATTGTTTTATCCTTTATCTTGGGGATGAAATTGTGTGACCATTAATAATTGTGCCTAAATATATATTATACGTTTCAGGCTGATTCAGGCATATCCCCTTCCTTCTGGTTACTAGTGAACTTCCATGAAGCCATTTGCCCTCACCATTAAGCACTTTGCCTTCCTCAGTTCTTTTCACATCTTTCCTAGTTGTGATGCCAACTTCTCCTTCAACAAACGAAAGATAGCAAAGCTGTGCTATTTTATAGGGGTGAGAGGCTGTTTCATTCTTGTCTAACAATGTTCTGAACTTTAAATGTAACAGCTTCATTTTTCCACATTACAGTGTCCAGAAAATGAATGATGGTAAACTGGGCTTTTGTTTTTTAATTGCCAGCTTAATAGGCCTTAAGTCTCTCCCAGGAGCTTCAAAATCCAGAAGCCTATGTAAGAGTTCAAGAAAGCTGCCAGGAAGTACTGGGACAGGCATCTACATTTACACAGCACCTACCAGTACCAAGAAACTTATTTTGGGTTTTGCAATTGCCTGAAGCAGCTGCGGTGTGAACAGTTTTATTTTTTTAATGTGTTTATTTCTTACCCATTTTCTACAACCCAGATACAATAAAATATCTTCTTCAAACAAATGTTTTGAAGAAATGGCTAGAATTTTTTACTCTATGGAAAATTTGGGATGACTTGTTGAGATAACTTTTGCAGATTTTGTTTTAAAAATATTAAAATAAGAGAAAATGTATTTGTATATTTATTTCAAGCAACGTGATGTTTACTTTCAGTATGACTCTCAAATATCTTAATTATTTAATCATACGATCTGCATTAAATCAAAACCCTGTTTTAGTTTGATCAAGGTATTTTTATGGACTAATCTCTTCAAATTGTTTTCTTATATAAGCTACATTCTCAAAAACAACATACTGAAAGATTGGAGACTTAATCTTAAAAGTTTAAATTTAATTTCACAATACAAGGCAATAACCATACATTAATATATCTTAGAGAAGAACACTTTCTAAAGCAACAAGGACTTGTACACCAACAAGGAAGAAAACCTAATCTTACATGACTTTTGAAAAATATGCAGTTTCAGGCAGCAAACTTTAAACACTACAGTGGTGATAACTGTGGGCACCCCAATCACACGTATTTCCTCCTGTAGTAAATAGAATTGCATCTCCATCGTCTGCAGGGCTGTTCTTTGTTTCCAAATGTGATGTTAATTTGTTCATCCATTGCCGCCTTTATTTTGGGATGATGAGTGCCACTTTCTTTTAAAATAAAACGCAGGATACATAAGATAATTTATTGTGGCAACTTTATAGAAAAGCAAGCTTCATTTTACCCCGGGCTGTCAGAGGAAAAAAGACACAACCACTGCTTTAAAAGGAAACCCGCGAAATAAAAAGGTCCCATCAGCTTTCCACAGAGGAAACTTCCTGCTTTATGTCTCTTTTTACATAGCTGTATAGAAAAAGAGAAACAACAAAGCGGATGATTATATTCATAGCATATCCTTATCCCACGGATTGTTGAGCCTTTATATTCAACGAGATGCTTTCGGGGTTAAGGTTCCTAAGCTTTTTCCTCAGATAACGTCGCATAGTTCAGTGAGCCGAAAGTGTCTGCCTTATCGCGGTGATCTTTAAGATACCTCGAGACTATCCACTGCTTTGCTATCCGAGAGCAACGAGTTTTCCCATTCTGTAAAAGGTTCTGCGAGCTGCACTCGAGACCTCATCGCCAATGCTCCGTTAAAAGTAAACTTCATCCGCGGCCGCCGCGTATCTTCTAAAGTATCGCGAGATTATGTGAAGGAAGCCGGGCGCTTCACTTTTCCCTCTCTTTCCTCTTAGCTCCGCTAGCCGGCCGAGCGCGAGATAGGCGCGCGGGCAGCAGCGCAGGGCGGCGTTTTGGTACGCTGGGAGTGGGGCGGGGGAGCAAACGAGCGAGCATTCGGCCGCGCGAGGTTCTGTGGGATACAGGCGGTGCTCAGCTTCTCCGCCTCCTGCTGGGTGCGGAGCGGCTCCGCTGAAGCAAGCGAGCAAGCGAAAGGCAGGGAGAAAAGGGACGAGACCCGACTAGGGCATGAAGATGGCGGACGCCAAGCAGAAGCGGAATGAGCAGCTGAAGCGCTGGATCGGCTCCGAGACGGATCAGGAGCCGCCCGTGGTCAAGCGCAAGAAGACCAAGGTGAAGTTCGACGACAGCGCCGTCTTCCTGGCTGCCTGTTCGAGCGGCGACACCGAGGAAGTGTTGCGCCTGCTGGAGCGCGGCGCCGACATCAACTACGCGAATGTGGACGGCTTCGCGGCACTGCACCAGGTCTGTGTCTCCTTGTCCCATTTCTCCGGGCAGGGCTTCACGAGCTTCTGCTGGGAAGGAGGCTCTGCCGCCCGGGATGAAATTCGAGGCCTGCTTCTTTCTTCCACTTAGGATAGTCTGGCTAGGGCGCTTCCGGAACCTCTTGCCTTTGGGCGCCTTGAGGAGGGGCTGTGGCCCTTCGGCGTCGGAACCTACCTTCCTTCTCCCGCCTCCCGACTTTTAGTGGGGAGCTAGGCCGGCTGTGAACATCCTTGTTTGTGTCCCAGGGATGTTGGGTTCTGCTGACTAAACTGTGCCTGCTGATAAGGCCAGGCCTTGCCTTTCCCCCGAGAAACAGGAGCGTTTGGTGGTCGTCTTTTCTTTCCTTCACTGCCCTGGGGCTTCAGAGAGACTTAGTTCTTCTGGGGAGGGGGACAGAGGAAGAACGGAGAACTCCCCCGAGCTTTTTTTATAGGGCAAGGAGGACGAGGCAAGTCCTTTCACGAAGGAGGTAACTTCGTGAAGTGATGGGATGATTATCATTGCCAGAGTGGGAAAATTTAGGGGTTGTCCTTAATGGCTGGCTGTTTTGCAGATGAGTAGAACGCCTAAACACATCCGTACTAAATGCTGTTCTTAATTTGTTAAAGTTGCTTCTTGTTTTTTTTCTCCTGGTGGTGGCTCTACATTATGGAATATGAACTCCGACCCATTATTGCAGCCCTTTCTCTTATTTATGGAAAGTTATGAAATCATTAGTACAAATTAAATTGATTTTGCTTGCAAGATTCCAAAAATGACAGTTGAGGAAGGATGAGAAATCAACTGAGTCTGAAATGTTCTCAAAATGGATGCTTTGTGGACGTTTAAGTTTTATAGGAGTCTGATTGGAATCTCAAATGTTAGCCAAATAAGGAAAGACTGTGGCAATCCCTAGATAATGTTGGATACTTGAGTTGATGTAGATCCTATTAACAGACAAGGAGCAATAACAGCATTATAAACTCACTTTGTGTATATATGTGTTTATATTTTAAAAAACAAGTGTAATTACTTTGACAGCTTGATTTTTGTTTTGCATGGTGGTAATCTTGGTAGTTCCTTAAAGATGTAGTAATTAGGATATCTTTAGGGACTAGAAGTGCTTTTTGCAGTATACTAACAAGTAATGCTTTATTAAGCTTTGAAACAGATTTCAATTTAGTATATACTTAAAATTCCTGATGATGACACCGGGATGAAGAAAGCTTTCATGGATAAATTGGTTCAAGGTAGTTGAACACATATGTGTTTGCCCTTAGTATTGTGCAAAATATATAATGGATTTTGTCTTTTGAATTAAATCTACTATTCTGATATAATTTAATTAGTGTGTGTGTGTATATATATATATATATACTAATTAAATATAATTAGTATATATTAGTATATAATAAATATATATCTCCTATTTACAAAATGAATTGAACAGTATTATAGATTGCCACTTCAGTTTTAAAGCTAAGTAATGAAGTTTTCATTGTCCATATAGTAAGACTTTATTTGCTTACGCGGTAATCAGAGAAAGCCCACTGTAGAGTTTATTTTTGTGTAGAAGCAATAGAATTTAATATTTGGCCTTTCTGGCTAGTTAGGATTTTATTGAGAAAATTATGTTTTGCACTTCAAACTCGGAGAACTTTAGAGTTGAATAAGGTCTAAAATAGTGTTGGTACATGCCCTTTTGAGATACTAGATATGTTTAAAATATCTTTTTAACCTATAACCTGTGATCCCTGAAATGGCATGCCAGGCTGTAAAAATGTTATAGATATCTTCCCTCCAAAACAGGTACTCATTGGCTTCTACCAAAGCTCTTTGAGTTCCTCCAAAGACAGGAACTCATGGGGCTTGTTGGGGGAAGGCAGTATTGCAAATACTCTCTAGTTATGTGATAGAAGAAAAAAAAGTTTCATGAATATGAAGAAGGCTAAAACAAACCCTACAATCCTTAGACCCATATCATTCTTATTCCTCAAGCATTCTCCAGAATTAGGCAAATGTATGCAAACCTTAAGGCTGATGGACATAATTTGTGTTATGTTAAAATCCATAAGAGGAAATAAAAGTGGAAAAATCTTTTCTCTTTTGTGATACGATGGCATGAGCTTGGCAGGCCTTTTGATAGCTTTTCTCTCTTTGCATTATATGCTATTCTTTGGTAGCATAGTTCAGTACATTTGAAATTTCATGAATGATATACATTATTAAATTAAAGCAATGGTGACCTATATTATAGAAATTGGCCTAGCATAACAGAGAGAATTTCTGCTATCTTGCAAAAGGGATAAAGAAGACCTCATTCAAAAGGCAGATTCATTCAGTTAGCTACATGACTAAACACACATGTACATTTATTTCCTTCACAACAGTATAGAACTGGTTTGCTGTTGCCTTTTGGGTTGTTTTTTGACTTCCTAGAATAGTTGCCAATCTTCCATCCTAATTTTAACTTGATCTAGCCTTGTTTAATTTTTTTTTAAAATCACATGAACTTTTGTTAAGCACTACTTTCTCAGTCAAAGGATTTCAGAATGTAAGGGATTCAAGTATAAGTGATTTATTATTTTCAAACTCAATTATAATCTGGCATATAGAAGATATGATGAGTAAGAAAATGATACCTGACTGCAATTGAGATAGACATATATTCAGGGAGATAGCCATTTATGCATATGTGTTTAAGCTATTTAGCACATTCAGTGGTAAAAAATGTTGTGAATTGTGCCTTGAAGCAAAGTGTTGATGGTATAAAGGCATGTATTACAATGCTTGCTTAGAAAACAACTATTACATTTGTCCCAACTGAAGTTCTCTTTAAGAGCATTGTGTTATACTAGTCACTAGGTTGGAAGCTACAGAAGAAAGAATGTTTTGGGAGTGTATTGTGCAATGATTGTAACCTATTTCTTGAAAAAGAGTTTTGGGTTTGGAAGTACAGCTAAGATTCTGATTAGAGATGGACATGAATATCCAATAGATTACATTCTGAGAAAAATGTAAATGAATTATTTTCACTTTTGAGCTTTTCTGTGCCCCCTATGCATAAGGCCACATGAGACTTTGCTCACATACATTTCTAAGTCACTGTTCTTATCCATGGTTATCTATTTCAAGTGTGTTTGCTCATCTGCTAAGCAAAAAGCAAATACACCTTATTGGAGCTTAACATTATTTATGAACTATGTTCAATGGCAAGATAGATAATAGTTTTACTTATATTCATTCCAATTTGTGACTTACACTATTCACACAGCAATAGTGAGTCAGTAGAAATGGAAGAAATTAGAGTGATACCTCAAAAAATGGTCTGAAACATTTGAGTGGGCATGAAACAGTAAAATAATAATTCAGAGTATATATAACTTGCTCTAGAATTAACAGATCAAGCTCTGTTTTTATTTATTACATTTATATAGCTGCCCATCTCACATGAAATTTATAGATTTTGAATATGTTAATGAATAAACAATTTGTATAGTTGATATATTTGTTTCCTATGCATATAAGGAGATAGTAAGATGCTGGCTGTTTTTATGGTGGTAGCATACTGATGAATTGCATCTATTTGAAAAACATTAAAGCTAAATGATTTTGCTTGTAAATTATATTGATTTGAAATAGTAAGCATCATTTTATGTTTGGTCTGTTATGCTGATATAAGTTAGAGTTATAACTTTATATCCTGTAAAGTTAAATTATTTTCTTAACCCTACAGCATATCTAGTATAAAATATCTCCTAAGAAGACTCAATAAAGCTTATCACTAATCAACAGCCTTCATATCAAATTGTGTTAAATATGAACTTATACGTAGTTCAATTTAGTCTGATAACTACAGCATCAGGGCTCAAGATTAACTCAGCCTTACATCTTTCTGAGGCCGGCAAAATGAGGACCCAGTTTCTGGGAACTGACTCCGCTTAGAGAGGGCTGTAAAGCACTGTGAAGTGGTATATAAGTCTGCTATTAACTATATCAAGAATCCTATACAGAAGTCCTATTGATTACTTAGTTCTTTTATTGCAATAACTTCTGTTTTACATAAGAAAGAATAGGAATAACTGAGCAGTTTAGAAAATAGCAGGAATACTGAGTTAGTGTTGGGAGTGCTCTCTCTTTGTGTATCCATAAAATCATACATGTAATTGTTTGCTATTATTTTAAATATTGGCCATATCTTTTTCATAACAGATTTTTTTCCAAAGGTGAAAAGTAGAGTTTCAAAACATTTTGTTTTTCATCATGTAGTCTTAAGTATTATATAAAAGTCCAAATGCTAATATAATATTTGTAAAGAGAATTTTAACATTCATTATTATAAATAAATTATGGAAGAATAATCTAGTTTTGACTGTTATAGTGCAGTTTATTCCCAGAGTAACTTTATTCTTATGGCTTAGGCATACTGTATATAAGTATAGTAGTTAGTAGAAAAATAAATGTCGTCAAGTGTAGATTTTTACCATTGCCATTTGATTATTTTTCATTTTTAATATAATAGTAGTAATAGCAGCAGAAAAGGCTGGAGATAGATACAACCTTTTGAATTACCTTCAAAAGTGCCCTATTTATTTTTACTTTATATATATATCACATTTAGAAACTGTCCATCTCAAAGTGTGCCTTGCTTTAATGAGTACCATCAAAATCTTTATTGGAAATTGGAAACTGAATTAATTTTCATTTAGCACAGGATTTCAGCAATTTTGTTTACTATTTTTAAGTATGGGTTGGATGAACACCTTGGTTTTAAAGCGTTGCAAATCATTCCAGCATTTTAGAAATTATGTTTAAATTTTAAGTTCTAAAACTATATTTTTGAGCAAAAGTACAACCTCATTTTTAGAATATGAACTTATTACTGTATTCAGTAAGATTGTTTTTCTTTGGTAATATACAAATAATTCAGAAACATAGTTTGGAATGTTTATTATGCCATAACTAAGACTTGAGAAGTCACAAATTATGCACCTTTTGCT